ATTTTGTGGTAAGTGGTGGGTGAGGTAAAAGATTCTCTTCTGAGAATCTGGCCAGTTACTCCACTGGAGGCTGACCCTCTGAGTGACAGTCTCTTGGGACTGGCTCACAGTGACTGTGGAAGGACAGGTCTCTGGCCTCATTTGTAACTCTCTCTCTCTCTCTCTCTCTCTCTCTCTCTCTCTCTCTCTCTCTCTCTCTCTCTCTGTGTGTGTGTGTGTGTGTGTGTGTGTGTGCTCACACACACACTCATGCATACAGATGAGTCAGAGGTTGAAGTAAGTCGTCCTCTTTAGACACTGTCCACTTCATTTTTGAGTCAGAGTTTGTCACTGAACCAGGAGCTTCATCAGTTCAGTTAGGCTGATCAGCCAGTGAACCCCATGGACCCTTCTGTCTCTACTTCCCCAGCTCTGGAATTACAGGCAGATGACATCTGGTCAGGCTTTTGACATGGGTGGTGGATTCTCCAAACTCTCAGCCTTGTGTTCCTATGGCAAGCACTTTTATGACTGTTATCTCCCCAGTTCCCAAACAGTATCCAAAAGCACCAGAACCTTCCATTTCTTGCCATCTTTGCTCTCTTCTAAGTGGGGACCATGTTGGGACTCTGCTCTACCCATAAGGGCAGATACTATGGGAGCTGCTTTGATCCCTTGAATAACAGAAGAACACACAGGATTCCTGTTTCTTCTTGGTCCTGAGGATCTGACTTGCTTGCAAAGAGATTTTAAGCTTAAATTACTGCTTCTTCTTCTTCTGTGGTAGAACCCTTGACATTAGCAACCCCCCCCACACACACATACACTTGCAAATATCAGCCAAGGGTTCTACTTTCCTTCCAAATACATTAAACTCTAATCCAAAAATGGGAGTGACCCTTCAGACCCTTAACAACTTTGTCAAGAAGGTTCTAAAATCTTCCAACATGCTCTTTATGATCTGTGTCTCTGGAGTCATATAATTGGGGAGATGTGCATGTTTTCTGGGTGTGTCCTCTCATCAAAGGCCAGGTAGTCCTGCTTGACTTCTTCAGCATTGTCAGTCTTTTTGCCAGTAAGCAGTTCTCATGCAGGTGGGAGCATTCCCCGGGTGTCTTTAGGAGTTGCTTATTCTTGCTTCTGGAAAAGAAACTTGAGGGGGATATTGCTTCACAGCTCAGAGTTACCCACACCCACTACCTTACTCTCTCTTAAAAGTTCCCTTTCTGCATAAGGTAGCTACCTTGCATGCCTTCACTACCCTCATGCCAAGCAGCTCTCTTTGCACAGCCATTTCCCCGGGAAACATATTGAGGAGGGGAGGCCAAGTTCATTCCGAGGCTAACTCTCTCCTGCCAGATACCTACCCTCTGGCAATGGACTTCAATCTGCCCTTGGAAAAATTACACATGACCACAAGTTTTGAAACTTCAGGGGTCCAAGGGAATATGACCCAGGGTTCTTCTGAATTTGGGTTTTGGCTTCTATTTTTCCAGCGTGCAGTCTTACATACACTTATCTAAGTGCTTGTGTGATCTTGGTTCACTGGGTTCTGACTATTTTCTTATGAGAACACATTTCCCTCTGTTTCAGTGGCTGGGTCCTCCTACCTACTCAGACCACTTAGTGATTAGCATCACCAAATGGCATGCCTGACAAACAGAGGACACACAGGTCCTGAATGGACAATTGCTTCCATAGCAATTTGGAGATAGTGACAGGAGAGTCTCACATGTTTTCCAGCCACACATCCTAAATCCTAGACACTGATTCTGAATCACTGAGGAAACCCCTAATCAAGCCACCAAGTCTTGAAGAAGCATTTTATTGACCTCCCTTTCATATCGTAATCGGCAGTGAAACTATTAGACAAATGGCTTAGCCCTCTGACTTATAAGTCAAATGGGCATAGTCCATAGTTCCTAATATGGTAAGCACAGTGTCAAAATTAGACAAATGGATGAGTTAGAATTTCCATGATTGAAGGCACAGAGATTTGGCAGTCTAGCTAAGCCCACATGGCTCTGGGGCTTAGGAAGCCATGGGACAGCTGACAGAGTAGGAGGCTGGCTGCAGGAAGGGCAGGTCTCAGGCCCTGAGAACCTCATGGTGGGTTTTACATCTCAGTGTGACTATCCATCTCCTTTCCCCATGAAGAAGCTGTCCACACACAGAGCACCTTAGCCTTGACACTCCAGCAAAGGGCTGGGGACCTTTTCTTCTCATGTAACAAGCCTTAGGAAATGACTTGAGCCCTCTCTGCTGAGTCATCTACCCATTCCCTGGTCACACACACACACACACACACACACACACAGAGAGAGAGAGAGAGAGAGAGAGAGAGAGAGAGAGAGAGAGAGAGAAAGAGAGAGAGAGAGAGAAAGAAGGGAGAGAGAGGGAGAGGGAGGGAGGGGGAGAGGGAGAGAGGGAGACTGTTACCATGTTCAACTGCATTTAGCTATCCTCAAAGTAATTCTGCTAATGACACAGGAAGAACATTGGAAGGCAAGGCTTTATTCAGTCCATCGTGTTTACCTGGATGTGTTTTAAAACAACTTCCAGGTTATAAGTCTGTGAATGGCATTAAAAACACCTCTAGAAGGAATGTAGACATTAGTCACTCTAGTGGATAGTGCTATGGGCTGTCACTGGATGTGTTTTAAAACAACTTCCAGGTTATAAGTCTGTGAATGGCATTAAAAACACCTCTAGAAGGAATGTAGACATTAGTCACTCTAGTGGATAGTGCTGTGGGCTGTCACTCTAGTGGATAGTGCTGTGGGCTGTCACTAGTGGATAGTGCTGTGGGCTGTCACTAGTGGATAGTGCTATGGGCTATCACTCCATTGACAGTGCAATGGGTTCAGTGGTACACCCTCTCCTTTTCACAACTGAAGTCTCTGCTCCTGTACCACACAGAATGTGAATGCAATTTAATTTTATGTGTATGGGTGTTCTACTTGTCTCTATACCTATGTACCATGCTTGTGCCTGGTGCCTTTGGAGGCTAGTAAAGGACATATGAACCATCACATGGATGCCAGGAATTGAATCTGGGTCTTCTGGAAGAGCAGACAGTACTCTTACCTGCTGAGCCATCTCTCCAGCCCCAACTGATGTTTTGTAAAGGGTAATTAAGCATAACAAGGTCACTATGGTGAGCCCTAATATAATAAGATTGGTGTCTTTGTAAGAAAAGGAAGCACACCTAAGAAAGACCACATGAGGACCTGGAGAGGAGAGGGCCATCAGCACACCAAGGAGAGAGGCCTCTGGAGAAATAAGACCTGCTGACCCCTTGGCCTTGAACTTGCAGGTTGAAGAGCCTCCAGAACCTCAAGGAAATAAATGCCTGCTTTAAAAGCCATCCAGGCATTCATACTTCATTATGACACTAATACAGTAACTCAGGCCATAAACAAACAAACAAATCCTAGAGGAGGTGACTGTGTGAGGACTGTTGAGACAAATGTAATGTAAGTGTAATAGGGAATAGAGAGTCCTCAAGGGCCTTCCTCGGGGAAACATCTTCCAGACATTCAAGGGCCAGTACCTGTTAACATACTGTGCAGATAAAGACACAGTGGAATGGTAAGATATTAAAGGTGGTAAAGACAGAAAAGCCAGTGACACACTGGCCTTATCTGAGATGCTGCTGAAGTGAGACCTCAGGAGTCCTACAGGGACAGAACATTGTATAAGCCAGCCAAGTTACAGGCTGCGGTTAAACCCAGCCTGCAGGAACCAGCCAGAGCTTAATATCCACATCGTCAGGATAGCCTTCCTCATGTGCTAGGGCAGCCCAGCGATCCAAACTTTGGTGGCAGCAAACCTTCTGATAGCAGTACTTTTGTCCCTGCAGGCCTTGACCTAACTGCCCCACATCTGATTCTCTTCCACCAAGGACCCACCACCATAGAAAACCAGATGTTGTCATTACAGCTCTACCTGGTGGACTTCCCTGCTCTCACTCTGTTGTACTTGCCTTTGCTCTGATCTTTGACCTCTGCAAATGACCCTAGTAGTGGAGAGTTCTAGTGGAGCATGTTCCAGGACACACTCAACACAACAAACAGCACAAAAGACCTACCAGCTTGCTCTGATGGGTCCATGTTAGGATTTTACCACAAGCACAACCATGTCTGGGAAGGAAATGTCCACACCTGAAGAGTTAGTCAATATGGCAAACCCACCACCGAAAATCCCAACAGGAAAATCATTTCTGTGAGTAGGCAGAGGCTGGACAAAAGGTGCTTGTGAAAGATCACAGTTCCGAAGCTTCGCCATCCCAACGCATAGCACCAACACCCCTGGTAAGGTGGCTAGGATGTGGAGAAATCCTTCATTATTGTCTATCACCATAGTGTTAGCCAACGGGAGGAGACTTTCTCCTTTCCAGTGTATCCAAATAATGTTTCTGGCCACCAGATACTGTTTTGTAGTCAAAATACATTTAATATTCGCACATAACAGATTCCAAGGAGGACAAATGAAATGTTTGAATAACCCAGCTTTGTGGACTGCTGAACACAGCTTTTTCACCTATATATTCCTTTTCCCCCTTCCTGCAATCACCCACAGACGTTTCTTAAAAAACAAGCCCGATAATGTCAAATGATGAAAAAGGCTAAACTCTGAGAAAACAAAGGGACCATAAATCAGGAAAACTTTCGGTTACTGGAAAGACACTTTAATTTTGTAGACAAAAGGCTGCATTAAGGAAGAATAATGCAATAATCAAAGGTAAAGGGATCTCCATTGTCTGGCGTCTTTCTCTGTGGGAATTTTCCCACCCCTGACAGCTGTAAAGGGGGGGAGGGGCGCTGACTATGGCTGCGCCTTTATTCTCTCACCCCTTTACTCCCCGTGTGCCCCCGCCCCATTCTGTCAGTAAATGTCTGCAATCATATTCTTGAGCTCCTGTGTGATTTCAAGGTTCATCTCTCCCATGCAGCTCAAACACTAATTATCCCAGCTGTAATTAGTAAGATAATTAAATACTGGCTCACTCATCACTCTACCTTGGGTCGGGTCGTGATTCTCCCAGAAGACCTTGAGCAGTTCCTCAAAGCTGATGTGCTCTGGCTGGTACACAACCCGGACGACTTCTGCATGGCCGGTTTTTTCTGGAGAGAGACAGAACATACAACCCAATTTTACTGATAACATCAAGTCATTGCAAGCTGTTCGTGCTCAAAAGACCCCGCAGATGGAAGCTGAACTCTTCTCTCTGATGGAAGGGCACAAGTGTAATTGGATTTCAGTTGCTGGTCTCTCATCCCAGTCTCTGTCCCCAGTTATAAAGGCATAGTTATCCCCCTGGAGATCCCGGGATGAAGACTTATCCTGCATCAGTTCATATGAGAACTAAACTCCATTTTCATTTTTCTCCCCACCCCGCATTTATTCAGGTGTATGGGTACATGTGTGTGGGCATGCATATGGACACTTCAGGTTGACGTCAGGAATTTTCCTGGTTGCTGTTCTACCTTATTCGAAAGATTTCTCAGTCAAACCTAGAGATCGGTAATATGGCTAGTCTCCTTGCTGGTTTGCTCTGAGGATCTTCAATCTCCCCGATGCTGGAATTACAGGTGGGCTGCTGCATCCACCCTGGCTTTTACATGGGAGTTTGGAGGATCTGAACTCCAGCCCTCACACTTGTAAAGCAAACACTTTCACTGCTGAATTTTCCTTTTTCTAATCTGACTTTTTATGAAGTCTAGAGCTAGTCTGACCCGGTGCTCAGGACAAAAAAACTGCAAAAGGGACTTTCCCAATTTCTTTTTACATCACCCTATGCTATGTAGAGTAGGTTCAGCTGAAGTACAGTTCCAGAGAGAGAAACCTGCAGACCGACTGAGAACTCATCTCCATTAGATAAACTAGTGAGTGGCGAGACACACTACTGTGCTCTAAACATGGAGAGTAGAGTTAGAGTCAAGTACCCAGAAGGTTGTATTTTCTTGGCCCCACTGGAAAAGGTCTTTTGCAGGGTATACTGTAAGTGAGTTTGTTCTCACAGGCAATCCTGAAGCTTTGAGCATGGGGAGGGACATACATGCCCGAATACTTCTTATAACTGTCAAGTTCATGTTCTTCCTATTGGCCAGTCTCAGAACCCTGTATAATAGGCCCCCTCAGACAACACTATCTGTGCATTCAAACCTGGTCACTCTCCCTTTTCTGTCACCTTATGTATTATGAAGAATTTGGAATTGTCCAAATAGAGGTCTGGCCTTTGCCCTTGGTGCCTGGGAGATAAACTGTAAGATATTCAATAGAAATTAGGCTGTTCACAATGGATTTTAGGATGAAGCAAACTATACATGGCAGTCTTAAGGTGGGACAGACAAAACAGAAAGAACAACCCTGAGGCCTTTGGTTGGCATGTTATTAGATAACCTGGAGGCTGGCTCCAACCACATTGGGCAATCACTCGGTTAATCATGCTGACACAATAGGTGGTGCCTGCATAAAATCCTGGAAGATCAAGGCTCAGGTGAGTTTTGTTGTTGATCAGCACCTCGTGCACTGTCATGCATGGATGCCGGAGATTAACTTCTCCCAGCTTTGCTGGAGAAGGTTCAGATGCCCCTGGAACCCATCCAGACACTGTGCTTTGCCTCTCTGGCTGATCTGGAGCCCTTCCCTGTCCTGCTAATACATCACAACCATTCTTCCATCGAATTCTGATGGCCCTTTCAAGCAAAGACCAGCTATGATATAGTCTGGGGAAAGCTTCAAACTCAAGGCTCAGCAGGGCAGAGGGTTCGTTGCACGTGGGCTTTCTCACTTTAGTTCTGTCTGATAGCAAGGAAGACAGAAACTCCACTTTACAAACCAGACAGCCAAGATGCACATAAGTTAGATTCACCTGAGGCCACACAGCTAGTGAATATCTAGCTGTACTACAACCTAAACTCACGTGTCTGCCGACCCCACTTCCAGAGGCTACTCACTATGCCAAAGGAGAATGAGCAAGGTGAACATGGGGAACCTGAGACCAGAAAAGGAATAAAGTCTCTCATTCTCTCTAATATTTTAATATGCAGATTTCTTCTTTATTATAGGAGCAATGTTTATAAGTAATGTTAAGCCAAGAAGATGTAAGAAATGTAACAAGGAGGAAATAAAATCATGCACTGCAGTGAAGGTTTGAGCGAATGCCGCTTCCAGTAACTCCATAACACTCCATCAGATGGTTGTCCGATTGCTTCCTCACTCGCTTCCGACCATTGGGCATTTACATGGAATCCTATTTCTAGCCATGAATGTAAATATTTCCCCACACTTCAGAGGCATCTCAAGTCACAGTTGAATAACTACAATTTCTGGATCAACATTATGAATATTGAAAGATTTCTTAGTGCCCAGTGCCAAACTCCTCCTCAGTAAGGCTGACCACATTTTCTTTCCCATGAACAGCATGAAGGCCTGCCTCACTCGCTATCATGGTCTTTTTAACCCCTAGCATTCATGGCTTGAGGAGAGGGCTCTGCTTCAGCTGGAAAGGGATCGTTATTACTGGAGTAAACACTACATTTCATGTGGATTGGCCAATTTAGTTTTTCTTTAACGTTGGTTGTGTTCTTTTAACAGTGAGACACTGGTGGCTAATATATTAAATTTTATTATTAGTTGGTCAATCCATATAATTTTATTCAGATAGCACAGTCATAGAATCTAGCATCTAAGCAGATTATTTATTTATTCATTGTTTTCCCCAATTTCATGTGCATGTGGTGTGTGTGTTTTCATGTGTGTGGGTACAGATGTGTGGGTGAATCTACATGGGTGCTTGTGCATGCAGAAGCCTGATGTTGATGTCTGAAACCATCCTGGTCCCTCTTCTACCTTATCCACTGAGGCAGGATCTCAGAATCAAACCCACAGATTGCCAATGTCAATCTTGCTAGTCAGCCTTCTCTGGGGATCCCTGTCTCCATCTTCAGACGCTGGGATTACAGGTGTGCCACCATGCCCATCTGGCATTTACATAGGTTCTGGGGATCTGAACTATGGACTCGCACTTGCAACAAGCACTTTAACCACTGACCCTTTCCCAGTCTCCTGAGTAGACTTTATGCTAACATATAAAAGGACTGGTTATGGAGAGCTTAGAAGATACAACATGAATACCAGTGGTTATGGAAAACACTTCTGGTCCATCATACATCTGATTTAGTCATTTGAAATGTCAAAATGATTTCACTACTATATGATTTCAGTGACTTCATAATATGAAAAACATTAAGGGGCCAAGGAGAGGGCTCAGTGGTATGGTGCCTGCCTCACAAACCTAAGGGCTTTGGTTTAGATCTCAAGCACCCATATAAGAAAGCTTGGCACAGTAGCTTTTGTGTGTAACAAATGCTGGGGAATTGGTTGTGAGGACAGGTGCATCCCTAGAACTCACTGGCCAATTAGCCTAGACAAATCAATGAGATTCAGGCTCAACAAAACAATGTAGAGAGTGATGGAGAAAGACACCTGATGCTGACCTCTGACCACCACACACACATACCTGTGCACACACCCACATGAATACATGGTGCACCACACACACTCATATATGCACACACATGTACAAAGCATTTAGGCTTTGGTAACAACACGTTGCAAACATGACAGCCATTTTGGTATAAAAAACATTGAAACCTGACAAGATATGTATGTATGTATGTATGTATGTATGTATGTATGTATTATGTCAGAGATGCAAGCAGGTGTTTCACAAGGAAGCAATAACTGTACTTTGATAAGAATGTTCAACTTTTTTGTGATTGAATAAAATAAATGCATATTAAAACACTAATGTACCAGCTATTATTTATTACGTGTAAAACTGCTTGAAATGGTGCTAGTGATGCTGAAGAAACAGTGAAACCTGCTTCATTTGACCCATGACAGCAAAAATGACTAAGCTGTTTTAGAAAGGTCACTTGCATATGTGGCAAGAGCCAGGAAGATGAGGTGAGCCAGGAAACAGAGCTCGTGAGTGCAACTCCCCAGTAATGGGAAGATACATGAATGCCCACAAAATTTACTCTGCCATTTCTACAATGGCAGAGTATGTAAGAAATGCAAATATATTTGATTTGATGTTACCGTTTTGACCGCACAGAACAGTAGCAATCATATGCGCAATCATATAGTGTGTGTCTTTTAGTGGTTGGCCTGTTTCACTTGGCATAATGTCCTCAGATCCATCCATGCTGTAGCATATGCTAGAATGTCCTTCCCTTTGTCCCAACCCATGTGTGTAGGTGTGTGCTCACACAAGAGTGCACGCGCGCGCACACACACACACACACACACACACACACACAAACACACACACGTACACACACACGTGTAAACCATATTTTGCTTATCCATTCATCCACCAATGGACACTTGAGTTGCCCCTGCTGTTTAGCTTCTATGAATGCAAGATCCAGATATTGCTGTTTACTTGTGCAAGAAAGAGATGGCCCCCTTCACAGATGAGCAAGCTAAGGTTTCTTCACAAGTCTTCTCCCACAAGTCACACATCTAGGAAGCCAGGGATCCAAACTCACCAAGCTTTAAATACTGGTGAAGTATTTGCCCGTCCAATGACCCCAAGTAAAGATTTTAGAACAGAGAAACCTGAAGTCACCAGGAGAGAGCAAATGTCACATAAGCAGTGACCCATCTGAAAACTCACCATGTGGCAATGGATACCCAGGCTGCCAAAAAAAAACCCCAAAAGACCCCCAAAACCCAAAAAACCAAAAAAAAGAAAACCCAAAACATTAGCTTCTTCTTTTGTGATAGCAATGTGGGGGTCAGGAAGAAATTTTTAAAATTTTATTGGTGGAGGGGAGAGTGGTTGTGTAGGGTGTGTACATGCCAGGCTGCATGTGTGGAGGCCAGAGGGCAACTCTGTGAAGTTGATCTCTCCTTCTATGTATAGGTGAGTTCAAGGGATCAAACTCAGGTCACCGTGTTTTCAGAGTAAGCTCTATCCTGTGAACCATCTCGCTGGCCCAGGAAGGATTTTTCACTCTCTAGCAAACACCTCTAGCTGTGATTGCCACCAACATTATTTGTAAAGAGGCTTTAAGGAGCCTGGCCGTTGAAAGGAAACTATCATTTAAGT